GGCCGTCCTCCATGTTTGCGTCTTTGCTGATGTCGGGTAACCCATCTTCGCACATCGTCCTGCCAATTCCCAGCGAGGAAGAAGACGTGCGCATCGCTTGCGAGCCAGCCATGCTTTTCCTGCAGGAGGTGCAGGATCTTCCCTACGCCGTACCTGCCCCCTAACGTCCCTTTCATCCACGCTGTGCGCCAAAACAACAACAACAACAAAAAAAAACGGCACTAAAATGAAGGGCGTCAAGCAGGCAAAACAAAACAAAACAAAAAAGAAGAACAAAATGGCGCGTCGCGGATGCCAACGAGCGGACAGGCACGTCCCTCCAAATAGAAATAATAATAATAATAATAATAATAATAGAAGAAAATGAGCAGAAAAACTTCTATTTTCATTCTTTAAGAAGCCCTCACTTCTGTCGTACCCACCCATCATTCCCTTCCTCAGATCAACCGACACGCCCCCACCCCGCCAACACTCTCCGTTCCCTCACGAAACGAACGCCGATCGCCCACCGCACCACACGTTAGCCGTGATGCGTCCAACTCCCACCCCGTGGGCACGGAGATTTACTAAAGAACCAGAACGTGAGATACCCAGTGAACATGCATACGTATTTGGAAGAAATCAAGCCCTTTTCCTCCACTCACATACACACAAAACAAACAAACATACGTAAAAAGGAAAAAACAAAACAAAAAGAGATTTTTCGCTTCACAGAGTCTTCGAATTGTCAATCCTAAGCACACCCATCAGCCCCACCGCTGGAACAAATGTACTCAGAGGCCTCTTTGAGCATTAATGAAAGGAGACAATATGTATGGTTTCACTCCGGTGGCGTTGCTACCCCGTCCACCCAGCCCTAAACGCGTAGAAAAGACTAAATGTCCTTTCACCTCCCTCCCTCTCCCCCAGATAATAGACACACATATGCAAAATAGCACCCAAACCAAAACACACACACAGACAGAGAAAAAAAAAAATATATATATATATATATATGATCTCTGCCGGCTAAAAAAAAAAAAAAAAAAAAAGAAACATTTGTTGTTGTTTTTCTCCAATTCATCCAACTTTGTAAACGTGTGCCTTCAACAAGTCAAATAATTGTGAATGTGAATAAGTGGGAAAGACCACAAGCCTGGCAAAAACGCAGCTACATTTCCTTACAAAAAAAAATATACCAACTGTTGCTGTCATGCAGTTGCATGGCTTCACACTGCGTCCCCTATCCAGGCCGTCCCAAAACATTTCCGTGTGCTTGTTCATATTTGGTTCTTAGTAACTTTCAACAGCGGGGGCCTCCCCAATACGCGTGGCGTCTAAGCATTACAAATAATTTCAGTTCATTACCAGAAATTACCTTCACCCCCCCTCTTCCCAGTGCATTAATGAGACTCTTTACAAAATGCATTTCCCCTGACCCCAAACCCCCCTCCCCTCCAGTTAATGCCTCTTGTCTCTTTCGGGGTGGAAAAGATGACGGGTTGCACACGTGCCACAACGTCCACACACCCCACTTATCTCCCCCTCCCCATACACACACATATAAATAAAGCGCACTGCGCTCAAATCCAAAACAAGAAGATAAGCCCAAAACCTTTTTTTTTCTTTCTTTCTTAGGCCACTTCCCATCAAAAAGTAAAAAAAAAAAACCTCGTCCTTCGTTTTTCATTAAAAAAAAAAAATATATATATATATATATCATTTTTTTCTCATCGCCCCTTCCACCTTTAAATCACTTTTCTCCTCCACATTTTTTTTTTTCTTTTTTCTTTTTGTGGCGAACTTCGCTAGCGCTCCACATTCAGATGCGGGGCGTCCCCACCACTTTGAGGCCATTTTGGGGTACAATGGGAAACATAAAAACGTGTGGGCGCCCAACCTCTTCCTGAAATAAGCGCTTCTCCACATCCGTTGCGCCAGCGTCGGCACCGTAGAAACGCAAATCCCAGTTCAGAAATAGGTACGCTAGCGCCACCTCTGTCTCCATCAAAGAAAGATGTTGTCCAAGGCAGTTGCGCGGACCGTTAATAAAGGGAATAAACGCATACGGGTCAACGGTGTCCTTGTATGCCTCATGATTCGGGGTGGTAAAATTATTTTCAAGCTTCACGTCAAGGAAACGTTCTGGTCTAAATGCATCAGGATCTGGCCAGATATCCGGACGCCGGTGGACCGCCTGGATCCCTACAGCCACCGAGCAGCCTGCAGGAATAGTGACGTCCCCATCAAGTCCAGTTATGGAGGCAGGCCATACGTCGTTTTTCAAGGCACGCCGCATGACCAAGGGAACAACCGAGTGCTTTCGTAGTGTTTCACGAAGACAAGCCGGAGACCATCGTAGTGTGTTGCGTACATCCGACGCGGTAGGAATGCCCCACGTCTTTCCTTCTGGTGTCACAACCTTCTCTTCGCAGCGTGCCGGATCAAACAACACCCTTGCCTCTTCCACAATTTTTTCACACGCATCAGGGCGACTGATCACCTCATAGGTTGCCCATGTTAGCAACGCCGCTGAAGTTTCGTGTCCCGCCAATAAAATGGTTTTGACATCATCGCGCAGCTGCACCACCATTGCGTTATCCATTTTATCAATTTGTGATATACAGAGTGAGATAATGTCACGTTTATGTGGCTTGTGGCGATCTTCCCAACGTTTCAAAATAAGCTCGCAAATTACATGATTCAACTCCTTCAAACAGCGGCGACGCTCTTGAAATCCTTCCAAGAAGGGCATCACGGCACGCCACGGCTCCCATACACGTCGATTGCATTCGTGAACAACAGGTAAGTAAAGGGCCGGAAAAATACGATCTGTTTCCTCTGGTTCCAAAGAAAGCGTCGTTTCTCCAATCACTTGTAGTGTCATGTGACGGAACGCTTCATTCAAATCCACAAATGGATTTTTGTCGTCAATAGCGGCAATTTGATCCATGACTCTTCCAACTGCCTTGATTGTCATTTTGGGAACTTCCTCCAATACATCTATGCGCATAGCATGGGAAAGTAATAGGCGGCCCTTTTTCCAATGCTCTCCCTCCGCTGTCACAAGCCCAGTTCCAAGTAAACAGAGGAAATGTTTGTATGACGTTTCAACATCCTTGGCGTAGTTTCGCTGGTTTGTCAGAAGGACCCGCTTCAATAATAAAGGATCATTGATGTACACAACGCGCTGATAAAGAACATTAAATCTGACAAGCCGACTTGTACGCGGAGTATCTTTCTTTTTATTACTATCCGCATGGGAAAACGAATCGAGACTCCAGTCTGCCATTTTTCTCCACGGTGATCCCCCCATAAGAATAAGGGCGTGGCCGACCACTGGGATTCTCCCCGGTGCCTCCGGAATATTTCGGAGGTGCCTGTCCATGATAAAACCCCGCAGAAACAAGAAAAAATAGTACAGAATGAGGGCCCAAATCACAATAAGAATCCCCATTAAAAATAACACTCCATAAGAAGAATTTGCCAACAACTCTGCACCGCGCATGACGCCACGTTCCCACACCGGCCGCACAGCGTTCATAATTGATGCCAACAACAGGTATGACTTTTGGCTGCCAATTCCAAAACAAAATCAAATATATAAATATAAATATAAATATATATATGGAGAGAGAGAGCACAGATGCAAAGACCCTGTTGTAATTTGTTTGGCTGCTGCAGTTTCCACCCCTCAGCGGGTATTTTTTTTGGTTGGTAGAATTGTGAATATATATATATATATTCACAATGGAAATACCCCTTTTTATATTCTCAATAGTGAATGTGAATGGGTGTGTGTGTGTGTATTTTAATTTTAATGTTGTTAATTTTATATTCTCTTTTAAGTCGCAAACGTGAACGCAACGTAGTTTTTTTTTTTTTTTTTTTTTTTTTTTCGTTTTATTTATAATAGAGAAGGAAAAGGAAGGGAGAAAAAAAAAAAAAAAAAAGAGAGAGAGAGAGAAAAGGAGTGCAAGTCACACACACACCCACACACAAAAAAAAAAAGGGAAAAAAAAAGGAAAAAAAAAAAGAAGGGATCAGTCCGTTATTCAAAAAAAAGAAAAAAAAAACTACATATGAACACATGCATATATATATATATATATATTGATATATTGATATTATTATTAATATTAATATTTTAAAGAAAAAAGGGATTTCATGAGAATTTCTAAAACATCTCAAAACGCCCATTCTCTTTCTTATCCTCAAATGAACCACCGTCTACCATAGTGTTTGTTTGTTTGTCAGCATCGTATACAGTCATCTACCATCGTGCAAGGGGCAAGGCACTACCAAATGTACGTCCAGCAAAGATCCCTTCAGAGCGGTGCGCCCTTCAGGAATTGGAGTCATTCCGTTTCTTCATGTGTTTTGCCAAGAGTGCCTTGATGGATGGTGATACAGCATGGTGACTACTGTCTAATGCTGGAGGCAATGAAGGTAGGGGATCTTGTTTCTTCAAAGAGGCCTTTCTCGTTGTATGCAACGGACCACCATTTTCCATGAGGGACAACGAAGACCTCTTGTAACGAGTAGAATTAAGAAAATCTACTACAACATCCTCGTTCACCTTCGGTGAAGCATGGGTCGCCCCCGGAACTAAAAGGGATTTCCCAAATGTTGGATTATGAAAAGCCTTGTTTGCCGCAGAGTCACCAAGCGTGCAGAGGCTAACTTGTTTTTTCTGTTGTGGAAGGACTTTCAGTGTTTCAAGTTCATTTTCAAACTCCTTCGTAAGAGCATCTAAATCGACATCGCCGTTATTATTCCCCCCATCACCGCCATTCAAAACATCTGTCACAACACCCTTAAGTTTTTCACAAGACAAAGAGGGAAGTTTTGGCGAAAGAACTTTTCGTTTCGTATGGCCCTCAGACCCGATTGCAGGCGTCAATTTCGATACCGGTAAATGGTGGTCTCCCTTCTCGCCAAGCAACACGGGTGACAGACCTGTGGCTGTGGGGGAACACAACGCCTGCAGCGGTGACAGGGGTGGGGGATTCCCCACTCCCGCCTGTTTTGAAATGGCCGTCGTGGCCCCTACATTGGATCGCTTTGCATTGAGAGCAATAGGTACAAGCGTGTTCCGTGGCGGAGCGGTTTGTGGACTAGAGACATACTTCTTCACCGCGTTCGCCAACTGTTTCGCCACGTTGGAAGGTGAAAAATTCTCCTCATCGAGACCAATACTAAAATATGGATGTTGAAGACACTGTTGGGCCGTGGGACGTTTCTTGGGGTCGTAACTAAGCATCTGCTTCATTAAATCCAAGGCTTGCGGTGGTAAATGTGGGGGAAGCACACGCTCAAGTCCCACCCCCTTCACTACTGGAAATGAATACCGTATTTTCTTGGCAAGAGCAAAACATTCTGGCCAGATTTTTTCATTGGGTGAGCCAAGAACACCCATTATCTTGTGTAACTGATCCACCTCATTGCTACCTGCAAAAAGAGGACGAGTGGTTATAAGTTCTGCTAATATACAACCAGCGGCCCATATATCCACAGGGCTGCTGTACGCTCGATCTTGCAGCAACAACTCAGGAGCGCGGTACCATCGGGTGGAAACATAATCCGTAAACGGTGGGCGTGCCCGAATCTCCTTCACGAGGCCAAAATCTGCCAGTTTTACCACATCCTGTGCCGCGGTGGTTGGGTCCTTCTTCACAAGCAAATTTTCAGGTTTAATGTCTCGGTGAAAGTACCCACGTTGATGCAAGAATGCAAGGGATTGAAGAAGCTGAAAAATGTAACTTCGAATCTTCGGGTATGGTATGGGAGGGGCATTGCCGGCTGTGGTGTGGCCCTGCATTTGCTTTGCCTTGCAGATGACCCCCAGAAGGTCCCCGTCCATGTACTCAAATACAAAGAAAAGCTCATTTTTTTCTCGTATCACTTCACGCATCTTCACTATATTCGGATGGCCATGAATGCGGCGCATCACTGTCACCTCTGGCAGCTTTACACACTCCTCCCAGGAATGGTACTTCTGCTTCATTTTTTTAATCGCCACAATTTGTCCCGTTTTTCTATGCAATGCCTTCACAACCTGACCAAACGCTCCATCACCTAGTTGATTGAGGACCTCGTAGTTCTCCATTTCCGCGCAGGCGGAAGCACGTAAAAAAAAAAAAAAAAAAAAACTCTATATATAGATAAATATATATATAGAGATAGAGAGATAGATAAATGGATATACGCTATTTTCCCTTAACACAAAATGAAAACAACTTTAATATGTACACACAGTAAAAATAAACATATATATATATAACTGCCTGCCTGCCTGCCTGCCTATATGTATGTATTTATGTATATGTATGTTTTCCTTGGAAAGGTATTGCAGGGCGGCAGCTCTCTCTATCCGTCTCCCCTTCCGCTCTAGTCTAGTGAAATAGCCTACACTTACAAGGCTGTTGGCAACACACCGTCCATTGAAAAATAAATAAATAAATAAATAAGAAGAAGAAGAACGTGTAAGACAAACACATGGAAACTTCCCCTCAGGCAATCGCCGCCCAACACCACAACATCATACAAAAACAACAACAACAACAACAACAAGAAAAAGGGCACAATACATTTTTTGCCTACTTGTAAATTTGACGTCTGCAGCACTCATCATCATCAGCGCCACCACCACCACCACAGCCACCCGCCGCCACCCTCCAATACAGACGAGAGACGGGCGGAATGGAAGAGAAAAAGAAAAAGAAAAAAAAACAAGGAGTAGATGGGGGGCAGAGAGGAAAAAAAGAGAGATTCTCACAGACGCAAAATACATAAATATTAATAATTCACAGAAGTCAACAATAAAAAATAAAAAATTCTTCCTTCCTCCTGTTGACTCCAAATCAAATTCCCTACGCAAGTCCCTACTATAGTTACGAGCTTTTTGCCTCTGCATACATTTAACAAAACAAAGAAACAAAAAAAAAAGGGGGAATGAGGCGTTTCTACGGGTGCAGTGAATGCGGATCCGGTGGCCATGCGCCCGTCAGTCCTCCATGTGCCCCCGCAATCAGCAACAGTCCAAAAATAAAGTTTGGTATCATGTTACTGATAGACCAGAGACCCAAAACAAAAAACTGCGTTGTGAAGCTCTTAGGCACATACACGGGCTTCAGGCCGTCAAACTTGAGAGGCACCACACGTCCCTTTCCGAGAGGTGCCGTGACACCGGAATACAAAAACAATGCACTACGACGGAGCATGTCTGTTTTCTGCAAGTTCTCTTCCGAGCACAGTTATCGAAGGAAAAAGCAAATACTAATAAATAAAAATAAAAATAAAAGAAGAAAATTGAAAAGGAAGAGAAATATACATGTGGGATATTATATATATAAGGTTCAATGAGCATCAAGAAGAAATTTCATGGAAATCAACACAAATTCATCCCTGATTCCAGTGCTGCATATACGCACACACCCGTTAGCATTGGTCAATGAAGATGGGAAAAGGGATTGGGATGGGAAAAATAAATAAATAAATAAATAAATAAATAAATAAATAGAAAAATAGAAGAAAAAAAAAAAAGGTCAACAGCATGCAAATCCGAGACAAAGATAATAAAGAACAACACATAATTAACACAAAATAAAAAAGAGGTCAAAGCAACAAAAATTTCACAATATGATCCTATTTCTTACCCCCTCTACACGTGGCAGAACAACTTCACGCTCGGTTGAGAGTGACTGCAGAAAAACGTACAGATGGGGAAGTAGTGTAATGGAAGACACAGCCGTAACGATGATACCCAAGCCGTACGATACTTCTAGAGACCAGTGTCTGTTCAAAAGCCATGAAAGGGTTATTTGGCCCACATAATTCAGCGGAATCTCAACAGTGCAGAGAGAAATAATAAGAAGTAACAACTGCTGCCAAGACTCATCAAAATCAATCAGAACATACTCCAAAGCCCATAAATTCAGGCATAGAGCAACAACACTGTATATCCCTAGCACCCAGTGGTAGAAGTTTGCCGCAGACCACACAACCCCCTCATCCAGACCAGTAACAAGATACATGCAGAACTTTAGATAATACCCACCGATCCAAAGAAGAAAAATAAAAAAAAGCGGTCCAACCGCACGCTTAACCATAAGACGGCACGCCGGGACACAAACCGGACTGTGTAAAAGTTCATCTGGGGAAATGGGAACCCTCTCCACCACCAAATTATATGGCGTCTTACACTCGGCACACACACGTCGATGCTCCGTGTTCAAAGTCATGGCACGCCACTTTTCCAAACACTTTTTATGCACGTATTTAGCAGACCCATCGCAGGCACATGGGGCAAATAAATCATCCACTGGTTTCTTGGAACGACATATACGGCATACGTATTCATCGCCATCACTCTCTTCACTACTACCATTCATTTCCACGCAGTCACTTTGAGGTTCCATGTGTTGGGAATCTTCTTCTACATTTGAGGCCACTTCTCGCATCTCGGCTGATATCACGACATTTGACGCCGCCCCTTCCCACCTGCGTCGTGGCCAAGAATGAAAATAACGGTGCATTGCGCGTTTTGCCACAAATAGCCAAGAGAAAATTTTCATACACGTCTCTTGAGTAGCCAGCATAATCCGGTAAAGTGAGAGGCAATGTCCATTGTTAAATTCAGTTTCCTCATAAAGAACAGTGGTACGACGCCCATTCAATGCAGTTGGCTCTGAAAGCCGCATTCCAACTTCCTTCGTGACAAGAATGAAACACATCGTCACCAAGACACACAACACAGCAAGAAATAGTTGCCCAAACCCACTTGAAGTCAGCCACAACTCCCAATTAAACGATCCTTTCTTATCCACTAAAACCAACACAATGTCTATACCTGTAAGAGAATCATGTGGCATCGTGCTCCTAAGCCGTAAAACCCACGGCCTGTTCCAAGCCCCTGGAAGCCCTACGCTGAATATCACTCGTCCCGTATACCTCCCTAATGGTATCTCCTTAAAGCTCGTAGTGTATGTCATACGCCGTGCCTGGAAACATTCGTCTGTGAAATCATTGCAACTCTCTATAAGTTCGTAACGTCGCATAATGCCAGAGAATGTCGAATCCTTATCCGAAGAATCGTCAATGGCAAAGGGAAATGTTGCGCTGCTGTCGTTAATTAAATCTCGAAAAACACGTTCAGCAACTTCAACATCAATGCTCGGCGCGGAGTCCTGCCAAAGTGAGACAGCGAAATTCTCCTCCCACCCACCACGAAAACGCAGTAAGATATACCCCTCAAAATGGCTCAGCGAACAAGGCGCATTGCTATCCTCCTTGTCAGCCGAATTCTTAGTCACTGAACAGTACGGAAAAAAATAAAGATCCCTATTCACTCTTTCATCATCTTTACTTGACTTCTCCTGACCCACCACGGGCAATGTCGCTTCAAGCGCAAACACCCTTGCAGGCCGCCTCCCACCACCCATCGCACTACGCCTGCCAAAGTCAATGTCGCTCCACGTAGCCACAGACATGATATTCCCATGTTCCCCGTTGAAAAGAGCCACAGTGGGCTGCTGTGCGGCCTCTCTTCCAGCAGTAAATGTCCATAAGAGCACAATAAGGCCCAACCAAAAAAAATGCCGGGTTTTCGCATGCATCACTTTTTTCAACCGACTGCAACACAGAGAAGAAAATAAATCTAAAGGCAAAGTGCATACATGCGAAAAAAAAAAAAAAAAAAAGAGAGAAAAAGAAAGAAAGAAAAGGAGAAATAAAATAAAAAAGGGCGTGCGCAAAAAAAAAAAAATAATAATAATAATAATAATAATGATAATAACCAATAAAAAAGAATATATATCCTTTCATTCACACACGCAGCCTCGTTGAAGGCCAGTGCGGAATTCCAAATTCAGTACGGTCGACGATATCTGCAAATACAAATTCGGCCTTATTTATAAGCCGTTGCCTCTAACAAAATCTCCTCCACAATGCCCCGCAGTGTCGTTTGATTCTCGTCTCCCAACAGATCTGCACAAAACGCACACACTTCCGAATGCACATCTTCTTCAACCCAACAGCTTAAAGAAACCTCCGCCAAACGCTCTATGGCAGCTTCTGTATGCTTGCGAAGGGCGCATCGCATTTCTTCCTCACTCTCTTTCGAGGCAAAAGCCACGTGCGACGGCACGGTGTCCTCCATCCGCCGCTGAATGTACTCCGCCTTCGCCTCCAGCATTGCCAACCTCAATCGATAAGTCAAGAATGTGGCAATGAGAACATCATTGTCGTAGGACGGCAATAAACAATTTTGTTCCCAGCAAAGTCGGTCCGCTTTCCTTGCCGCCATGAAACACGACAACATGTCATCACAGACGTCGCATGAGAAGAGAGCTGTCCTCTCATTTCCGTTCTCACTGTCTTTACGCTCTGGGGAACTTGTCGGCATCATCGTCCCGCATGGAGAGGAATAAGTGACTAAAAATAAGGCAAATAAAAAAAAAAAAAAAAGGAGAAAGAGAGAGAGAAGAGAAGAAAAAAAAAGGAAAATTTGATTAGAGATGCAGCGGACGTTTGACATGCCTCCAATATTTCGTACCCACCACCCACCATACACAAAGAGAGGCAGAGAAGGAGAGTTCTTCTACGGTCGAAGCGCTCCGCACAGGCAGTCGAGACGAAAACAACAACCACACATGATCCCACTTCATGGCAATCAAAAAGAGCCAAAAAAGGGACACCTCACAGGTCTGGAAAAAGTAAAGAAAAAAAAAAGTCAAAAGAAATTTAAGAAAAAAAAAAAAAAGAACTTCGGCGGCACCGGCAGCAGCGCAAAATTCATCATCGTCATCGACGTCATCATCGACGTCCCATCGCATAGTGCATCCTTGTCACTGTGTGTTAGCCCCTCCGTGCAACGGTAAAGAAGAAAGCGTTGGCGTCAAATGCATGCGATACAGATCAACACAAAAAGTAGCCCTTTTTGCCCGCCATTCACACGCCTCCTCACGTAATAAAAAAAGCTTGCGCCACTCCCAAAGAAGAATCACGAGGGAACCTTTCCCAAAGTTCCCCTCCTCCTTCTCCTTCCCCGGGATCCTTTGAAGCCCTTACGCCCCCTAACAGCGACGTACACCGACAAGCAAAGGATCGCCGCTTCCTTTCCTCACATAAATCTCCAATCAAAAAAGAAGTGCCCCATCGCAGCTAAACCCCTCTTTGGTCATTTTATTCAACGCTACCGCTCCCCTATTTTCTATAACTGAAAAATCAGATATGCACACACATATACACGCACACACACACACACACACACGCACGCACGCACAGGCACGCACGCACAGGCAGACTGAAAAGCATTGAAAAGGGACAAAAACTCAAAGGGACCGGCAGAGACAGACAAATAAAACACACACATGCGTACACACAGACACACATGTACATACACACAGGGGTATATACATACATGCACACAAATATATATAGAAGAAACTCCAGTTCAATCCCTCAGATCGGCGTTCTTGAAACAGCATGGAAAAAAAAAAAATCCCGTTTGTTTGTTTGTTTCCTCTCTCTCTCTCTCTCTCTCTCTCTTTCTCCCTCCCTCTTTCTATCTCTCCATCCCCCCACCTTGGCTCCTGGAAGTAACTCTTTTTTTCTTTTTTTCATTGCTCTCATTCCCCTGCTGCTCTTTGGAAAAACTCCGCCTCATCTTTTTTTTTCCCCCCTTTTTGCTGTTGTGTATTCTCCGTTTCTTTCTTTGTTTCTTTCTTTCTTGTTGTTGTTTTTGTTTTTGTTTTTTTATTATGTTTTTTTTTTTCCGATTTCGCGCCAAAGAGGAATTCTGATCTGTGAGCCGTCTTCCGAAGGAACTGCAAATTATGACGCCGGCGTTTCTCCCTCCTGCGATGGCTGTTGAGGCTGTGAGGTCCCGGAGTTTGCCGTCGCACGAAGCTCGCCTTGACCATGTGCAAAAGCGCAACGATCGCCCCAGTTGCATTCACCATTTTTTTCCCAATAGATGCACATCTTCGTTTTACGTTTCCCTTGATCGATGCCACCACGACCACCGCGGCCACGACCGCCGCGCCCGCCGCGGCCACCGCCGCCGCCGCCGGCACCAGCTACCATTACTGGGTTGTAGTAGCCTCCAAAGGAATAGCTGACCGTCTCCGGGAGCGTCCAGTGTGTGGTCTTTGTATTATGATCCATGTAATATGGTTGACCAGTCGCAGTGTAGGCCATCTGCCAGCCGGACGGAAGAACAGGTTGGTTGAGTGCAAAATACCCCTGCATGAGTTCGTTTCTTTTTTTTATTTTATTTTTTTTTTTTTTTTTTTTTTTTGATTGGTTCGGTTGTTGTTTTTAATTATTAATATTATATTTTGGTTTTGGTTTTAATTATTACTGTTATTTATAATAATTACGTTTCCCCTCCCCCCCTCTCTCCCTCGTTTTTATTATTATTTTCTTTTCTTAAAAAAAAAAAAAAAAAAAAAAAAAAACCTTTTTTTTCTTCTTAAAATGAAATGAAATAACTGCCTGTATGTAATTTAACGGGTAAAAAAATAAAAAGGACTCAAAAATCCTACTGTAATTCTTTTCTCCTGACCCGTTGTTTTCTTTCTTTCTTTCTTTCTTTCTTTCTTGTTGTTGTTGTTGTGTTTGTTTTGTTAAGTTTCTGCTTCTTCTCCCTCCCTCTTCTTTTTTTTTTTTTTTTGGATTTTCTTCTCTTAAGTGTTAAAAAAAAAAAATGTAACCTGCAGGAACAACAGCAACAAAGAGAAAAGAATAGTCAACAACAACAAAAACAACAACAACAGTGGTGGTGGTAATGGTGGTAGAGAAATAAGACAGGAGGATATATATATATATATATGTAAATATATGTATGTATATATGTGTGTGTGTGCGTATATATTTTGGTGGAATATGACATTTCTACCCCTTCATTTCCTTCTTTCTGCCATGTATCATCCTTACAGCATGCCACAAGTAGTCCTTTTGTTTGTCGTGGCAATTTCGTTGTTGTTTTTTGTTGTTTTGTTTTGTTTTGTTTATCGTTTGTTTGTATCTTTCATGCGTTCAGCAAAACAACAAAAAAGTAGGAAATCAAAAATATTATATTTCAGAGTAAACTGTCTCTCTCTCCGTCTCTCTCTCTCTCTCTGTCTGTGTATGTACGTGTACTATGTTCCGTTTAGTATACATCAAAGGTATAAACTCCCAACGCGGGTCGTTGGTATCGCATGGCCTCCACAAAGACTTCCAGTGGATCACGTGAAAAGGCTGTGAGCGGCATAGATGGAGGTACTTCTCCCGGCCTTTTTCTTCTTCTCCCCTGCTGTAGTTTCCCTTGATCCCCCCTCTCCCGCAAAGCGTATGGCTTCACCGCACCCAAGGTGGCGTCAAAGAGTACCTTCCGGTGCAATAACTCCGTCGGTATCTCAGCATTTGACAGCGTCTTTGGTTTTGCATTCACCTCGTCCGCCACCCGCCTAGGGTCCACATCCGGGAGACGCACAACAAACTGTCGGGGGGGCAATTGCTGTGGAGCAAATACATCGTGCGGGAGACGTTTCTCCGCTTGCGCCTCCGCGTGACGCTGCGCCATTTCTTCGATAAATTTGAACGGACTCTCCTGCCTTCCATCATGATTGACTGACCCGCCTCTAAGTTTGGAGGGCACATTGTAGCGTCGGATGGCGCCATTGGCGTAGGGACGCCAGCGCTTGCCCAATGCAACCTTAATTGCCTGATGCAGCTCCGACGATTGTGGCCTTTTCCCGCGTGCCTGGGCGGGGTCAGCCTGAGGCTGGGTGTCGGGAGACACATTCCACGCCATGAGCACCTCATCCTCACTGGTATTAAGAAAAGAGCCAGCACTACCGGACAGGTTGATGCACGGCAGAGGTTGCTGCTGCTGTTTCTCCGTATTCGTACTCAATGATAAAGGATGATACAGAGGAGATGGTGTTCTTTTTCTGTCGGGGGAGTCAACCCGCATGAGGCTTGGCAGACATTGCCGCCTCGCAGACTCCGTCCAGCAGTTCAAGACGATCTCATTACATTGCCCACTAACATATAATTTATTTCCAGGCTTTTCCAAAAGGTCAACTTCCGATTCCCGTCTTTCCATCACCGCCATTCCACCCCGCCCCACCCTTTAGTGAGAAGAAAAAAAAAAAAAAAAAAAAAAGAAAAGACAAACCGCAAAAAAATGTCAAAAAGTTAAGATGCATGCAGTAAAGGGGAAATGTTGCCACATCGTGTAAAATCCCAAAAAAAAAAAAAAAAAGGTACACCGATAACCATTCTTGACATATATATATATTAAATCGAAAATAGCAAGAGAAGCACACACACACACACACAAACAAAAAAAGAAGAAAAAAAAAAGGGAAAAAAAAATGCAGAAAGGAAACATTAAAATATGGAAACATTCATGGAACAGAAAAATATGTGAGATAAAAAAAAAAAAAAGAAGAAAAAAAAACGGCTCCACACGCAAAAACTAAGAAGGATGCCGTAAGAAGTGGGAAGAGGGTGGGTGGGTGGAGGCGTTGGGTGTTGGTGGCTGTGCAGGAAGCAGGAGGC